ATTATTTGAAATACCTTTAAGAGATGCCTATCAAGTAAGGGAAGAGCCAGAGTAATGGTTACGTGTCTAACAGAAAATTGTAACATTTGTGTACATCCACAGCCTCTCTGGCCACTTTTTTTTTTTTTTAATTTTTTTTTTTTTCAACGTTTATTTATTTTTGGGACAGAGAGAGACAGAGCATGAACGGGGGAGGGGCAGAGAGAGAGGGAGACACAGAATCGGAAACAGGCTCCAGGCCCTGAGCCATCAGCCCAGAGCCTGACGCGGGGCTCGAACTCACGGACCGCGAGATCGTGACCTGGCTGAAGTCGGACGCTTAACCGACTGCGCCACCCAGGCGCCCCTCTCTGGCCATTTTTAATGTGGCTTTAAAAAAAAAAAATTATCAGATTTTCTTCTGTTTTTTTCCAAGTTATTAAAGTAACGTTCATTGTAACAAGGCAAATAATTCTGAGCTGTATAAAGTTCCATTGCCTTCTCCCTTCTCACTCCAACCTATGCTCTTGAGGGTGACCCATTGTAAAGCCTGATGTGTACATGCGTCTATGTTTTACTATAATTTTTATACAGTCTGATACAAACGTACACATACATAACACATTTCAGTTTTGTAATACAACCTATTACAAACCTGGGATACTGTTTGGCAGTTTGTTTCTTAACATTATCACTGGCATCTTTCAAAGCCAATATACACAGTTTGACCACATTGTTTGGAATGACTGCACAGTGTTTCATAGTATTAATGTAAAATAATTTACAAAATCATTCCCCTGTTGAAGAACAATGTTTACTATTACAATGTTACAGTTAACATACTGGTATATATTTCTCTACATATTATGTTTGTTTGTTTTTAAAATTTCTGTCAGATAGATACCTACACCCGGGGGAGTGATATATTAAAGAAAATACAAATTCTTAATTTTTAAACAATGTTGCCTACTTAACTCTCCCAAGGGACAGAGCCAACCATGTTAGCATGTGCCCTCTCCCCAACAAAGGTGATAATACTGGATGTGGATATTATCAACATTTCTAAATACTATAGAGCTAGTGTATTAAAAAATCATGTCTTATTGTTTTAATTTACGCTTCTGTGGGACTAGTTTCAATATTCAGCTGTAATTTGGTTGCAGTTCCTATTGAAAGTTATATTCATCACTTGTCAAGAGACCTTGCTTTTTTAAACACTGAAGGGCATAAAACTTTATACTACTTGCTTGGTAAATGCCCCGTGAAACTACAGACATTAACGTACCTAGCAGAAGACTTCTTCTTGCAATTCTATGATATGAATTGAACTAAGGATGTTATCCAAATTAAACTACGGTATTCTAATTTTTAATCTTCTCACCTAGGTGTCAACCTTAATAATCAAAAGAGGTTTTCTGCCAACCCTTTACTCTAGCTGTCATAGCCAAATTACCAAAACATTAACACTCAAGGGAGCAACCAAAATCTATAAAGATTATCACTGAAGGGTAACATGGTAAGAGAGTGAAAAGGGGCATCTTTGAATTCGGGGACAGGAAGGCTTGTCTGAGGTGGTAATGATTAAGATCTGAGTATCAAAAAAAAAAAAAGAACCAGGTGTGTGCAGTTTAGGAAGAGGAGGGTCCTAGGAAGGCATGGTCAAGAAACAGGTGGGCCAATAGGTCTAGAAAATAGTAAGGTGAAGAGGAGAACAGCAGAATGCAGTGGTATGGATTATACAGCTTGAAAGCGAAGTAGATTTGGGGATAGGAGGTAGGAATCAAGAGTCTTGTTTGCACACGTGAAGTTTGAGACCCATTTTAGATATATATAAGCAACCATAGAGGTGACTCCAGGGTCAAGGAAGGGGCCAGGGCTGACAAACTGGATTTGGCATCAAGATGCCATTAAAAGCCACTGGACTCCAAAAGATCACATAGGGGTCACGCAGAGAAGTGAAAGAGTCAGAGGGTGCATACACTGTGATACAACATCACAGTTAAGCACCACACGGTCTTCAAAAATACAGGTAATTCAGAGTTACCCTAGGACTTAAAGACAGGACTCTGAATATAACATACATCTCAAGTTTTGATATGCATTATTTTAGGGAAACTTACATTGAGTTGTAAGGCAAACATTTTATATTAAAATGCCAATAATAATCCCTAACGTATTTTTTGTGGTATCAGATCCTCACGGGTAAAGTGGTGGCATTGTGAGTGAGTCATGGTTCCAGATAAATAGGTAGAAAGTGTTCTGGCTTCATGAGTAAACACAGATATTGTCTGTCACAAAGCCTTACGTGATACACATAAAGTGTGGAGTAATGAAAGGAAGTTTTAAAAAAGATTTGTGTGAGACAGTAACTTAAAAACAAATGTAAGGACTTTGTTTCCCAAGACCCTGATAACGAGTGCCTCCTTCAATTCTGCAACCTAGGTGCTTCCCTTGCCTCATCCAAGCCCCAGTCAGCTGACTCCTTTTAATTAGTCTGAGAACATGTGTTTCATTTCATTTATTCCAGTGATTAAAATGGTGAATGTGGATATATCAATTAAAACACTGACATGAAAATAAAAGTCTCAATTTAAGGTTTGAAGGAGCCTTGAAAATTGACAAATGCCATGACCTAACACAAATGAAAGTAACTAGACTTCAACTAATTTTAATCTCATAACTTACTTCACATCATGTGATGGGTTCTTGGTGAGTCACTTTTGAAAGCTAAGAAAAAGCTAAACACTGTAACCAAAGAAATCCAATGTATATTTAATTTTCAGTTCTCCTCACAAGTTTTTTTTCCTCTTTTGGCAATGAAAGTAAAACAAAGAAAGAGTGGCTTTATCATGGAATTGAAACAAATACACACACAAAAAAAGAAACTTCAAAGAATCTGTTTTGTTTTGAGGCCATTAAACCACGTGCCAGGAATTTTCCGAGTAGCTGAAACTCTTAAAATACTTGATGGCTTGCAAAGAAATATAAGTTGAATTTCTTATATTAAATATAAGTTGAATTTCTTATATTAAATATAAGAAATTATATTTAATAATATAATTATAATAAGAAT